TTTTAGATCTGGAAACAAAATTTCAGAGTTCCCATTTTGGTTAAACATTTATTAGAATCTCATTTCACGTGTGAAAAACTTATTATGTTGCGTGTTCAAGCATAATACAGGGGAATATTACATTTTTAAGATATATATGTATATAGAAATTTAGATTTAAAAAATAAAAACAGTTTTGATCCAATTACTTTAAAGAATATCATTTTTAATTATGTAGAAAAATATGAACTTAAAATACATATCCTGGTTTATTTTGAGGGAATATCAATTTAAATTACATAGAAAATTTTCAACTTAAAAAATACATTTTCTGCCTTACTTTAAATAATAACAACTATAACGATACCTAAATGTGGAAATAAAAGATAATCGTGTTGCTTAAATAAATCCTATATTTAGATGAAAATAGTTGAAATTTAGGCTTTAAGCAACATTAGCAGAAAAAATACCAGCAAAATACCAAGAAGGTATGCAAACTTCGGAAAGGTATAAAATGAAATATATAATGAAAATATAAAATGAAAATTGAATGCAAGTTTTGGCGACTTTATTTAGCTAATTAACGAAGATTTAATACCCTCCTCATAATGCTTTGCTGGTATCAAAAAAGATATCTAGAGAACAATAAGTTTTTTATACAACAACCTCATTGTTCCTATGGCTACATGATATAGTGGTCCGATCTTATAAGCTTATAAGCTTTTGATTAAACAAAAGTGTATATAAATATACAAAATAATAAAATCTTAAAATGTAACCACAAAGTTTGGGTTCACTCTAAAATATTTAAATATAGTCAACGTTTTATTAATAACTTGTTATTCGCGTTTGCCCAAAGAATCTTCGCGAATCAACAAATTCTTATAGATCTGAAATAGTGCATTATTATAATATTAAATATTATAATTATTTATAGTAATTATTATGCGAAATACACAAATAGTTAAAAATAGAAAAAAAAAACAAAATAGTTATTGCGAGTGCTTGATTTGATCTTTGGCTGTGATCTTTGGCCAACATTTGAGCCAACTATTTTTGATGGCCATTTTTCGCAGCTGTCCGAAATTTATTGGCATTTTTGGTTTTTTGTGTGTGTTTGGATGCACTCGTGCAATTTGTCTTATGTCGCACCTATTGAACCGGCGGCGCAGCGCCACAATTAATCAATGCCAATAATGCGGCAGATAGAGATGCCAAAGAACCAACCCCCCCCCCCCCCCCCCCTCCCTCTTGCTCCACCCACGACAAACACTTCCGCTTGAGGCTGAGCTAAGCAGCTGCTGCTGCTGCTGCTGCTGCTGCTGATATCGCGACTAGTTTTGCATTTGCGAATTTACTGTTGAAAACATATGTTGTTATCTGTATCTGTCAGATACGTAAGTGGGTCACACACACGCACACTCGCACGCACACACGCTAATGCGTACGCACTCACACGCAACGCGTAAATTGCGTATACGCAATGTGTGTCAAGGACAGATATGTGCGAATTTCGCTGTTGTTGTTCTCTTTATGATTTCCAATGTTTCACTTTGCCGGCTGACGGCGCAGTCCCGCTAACCTCCACTCTCCGCTCTCCGCTCTTCACTCTCCACTCTCCGCTCGCTGCTTGCTGCTAAATTTAAATGACGCCGCGCCAGCTGGCACACACACACACACACGGGCACGGGCACCTACTGAACCAATTTGCGCACATTGCGCGTGTGTGCGTGTGTGTGTGCGTAGATAGCATTGAATTTCAAGCGGCTAGCGACCCGCTAGAAACATTTTCGCAACTATTTTTTTTTGTGCTTCTTTTTTTTCCCCCTTACCTATATATACATATGTATATTTTTTATTTGCTGCGGTCTTTTATTTTCGCACAACTCACGCCCACGGTCAAGCCAAAGGTCAGACACACAAACAACTGCAAAATTTCTCTTTTCGGTTGGGCAACGTTTGACAGACCAAGCGGGGTGAAGAGCTCGCAAAAAACACAAAAAACTGAAGAAAAAATCAAGCAAAACGAACGAAGCTCAGATGCTCTATGCATAATGGAACAAGAAGGGGACTGCAGGAAATATAATTTCGAAAAAAAGCTGAAAAGTTCAAATCCAACGCATTGCATTGCTATATCTACATATATATATAACAGTCAGATCAAGTCAACATATAGAATTATACTAAAACACATATGTACATACATACATATAATGAAACTAACTTAATGAATATTTTATCAAGTTAAGATCATTTTCCACTACTTCATTCGTCTTTTCTGTAAATGTAGAAAACTTTTGTTGAACTTTAAACAAGTGTTCTTTTTTGGATATATTTATCTTCTTTTTTTAATATATCAAATTTATATGACTTAAATATTCTATAAACATTGTCTAAAAATCAGAGCATAACGTATTTAATACTGTTATTCAATTTTCAGTAAATTTTCAAATAATATTTTACATACATATATTTTATTTATTTATCAGTAATTTTTTTATTTTTGTCTAAAATGTAATATTTTTTATATATTTTTTCTACGCTGGACCTTTACTTTGAATTCAAAGAGTTTTATATTATTTTTAAATTTTTTTGTTCGCTTTGAACTTTATTAGAATTAATTTTTTTTTGTAGGCATTGAATTTTACTTTAAAATCGGAGAGTGGACATTTTAGGAGGAACTGTCTAGGTCATATTAATGTACATAGAAAAAAATAAATGCTATATACATTTTCATTTTTTATTTCTGATTTGATCTGATATTTTTCATAAAAGAAAAGCTTCAAAAATCCTCTTCCAAGTTTCTTATGTATTACTTAATATAGATACATACATATGTATTTATGCGATTATATACATATATTATAAAACTTGTAATTCATATGCCCTATTATTCTAATATACACAACTTACGTACATCTTAAGCTGCACTGTCGCGCTCTCGCTCTCTCCCTTTCGCACATTCTCTTTGTATGTCAAATTTCCAATTGGGTCGCACGCATCGCAACTTCTGCTATTTGCGAATTTTTTGTTTTTGGTTTTTGTTTTTGTTTTTGCAAGCGCGTCGATCGCGGAAACGAAACAAAATGCTGTTGTTGTTGCTGCTGCTGCTCTTAGCTGTGCCTGTGTATGCATGCGTGTGTGTGTGTGTGTGAAGCAACGAACGCATTGCGTAATCGTCGCTGCTCGTTGCTGCGCCTTTGCAGCTTGACAACACAAAGCAGCGCTGTCAGCAGAGGGCGCTAGTTAAGTTTAGTTGGTCGCCTAGTTAGCGCCTACGTGTATGTGTGTGTCTCCCTGCCTATGCATGTGTGTGTGTGTGTGTGTGCCTTTGCTGCCTGTTTATAAAAGCAGTTAGAAGTCAAATGGCGCTGTCGAAATGACGACGCTGCGTCGCTGCGCGCAGCAGCAAAGCCACAGCAGGCAGATTTCATGTGTGTGCGCGCAACTGTGCTAGTGTGTGTGCGTGAGCTTTTGTCAGCTGCTTTTTGGCGTCATGCGTAAGCGGCTATAAATTTAGCAAGCACCCAAGAAGCAGCCGCAGCCGCAGCAGCAGCAGCAAAAGCAGAAGAACAAGAAGAGCCAAAGCGTTGTCGTGGGCTGCGCAGGCGTCGGCGTTCGCGTCGCCGTCAGCGTCGACAGTGACTTTTCGCTTCTTTTTTTTTTCGTCTCTGTGTACAGTTGTTCATTTCATGCCTGCTTTTTCGGCCGAACGCGGAATAGAATTGTTTTTTTCTTTTCGTTTCTTCTTTATTTTATTTTTGCGAAATTAGCAGCCGCAACAACAAAAATCTAACAGCGAATTCTTTTTATTTGCCATTTTATTTTTTGCTCTTTCTTTTTGTTTTGTTTTTTTTGTCTATTATGGCGACGCACAAAAGCGCGTTAAGTTTAGCCTATTGAGAACTACAACAACAACAACAACAACAACAACAACAACAACAGCTGGCAGGCAGCGTATTTAGGTCAAATGCTCAACTGGCAACTGCGTGCCGATTGGCAAAAATAACAACAATAACAAAAAACACAAAAGGCAAACGAAAAAAAAATTTAATTTTTTGCGCGAATTTTTTTTCCTGCTGGCTTTTTGCTGATTTCATTTATCTTTTTGTGTTGTTGTTGTTGTTGTTGGTTGTTAGTTGTCTATAGAACAACAACGCAAATGTTTTATTGCCTATGGTGTGCGTTGCTTAAATAACGGTTCATCAAATGCTGGCGAACATCATGGCACAGATACATAAGTACAGCCACACAGATACAGATACACGCACAGATACATATGTATCTTCTAGATACATACGTTTGGGCATGTAGATACACACGCCAGGCATCTAGTTTGGCCGAGCAGCTTATAAAGAAATTAAACAAATAAAAAAATTGCCCAAAAAGCGTATTGCGGGTTTTTCAAAACTCTATTCGATTTGGCTACCTGTTCTGGCAACGTGGCTAAAAGCTTTTGTTTTCACTTAATTCAAAATAATTTCATGGCTATTGTGAATTGACGATCAAGTAGAATTGAAGTTTTTACTATATATACATACATACATACATATGTATGTACATATCACAATCTGATCTGCGATATATTCATAGCTCCTGAATGCTGTGATTACAGAGGCGGATGCGGGTTCAAATCTCGATCCAAACTTAAAGATTTTGTATTCTTTTAATCAGAGAAACACCACGATCATAATCTTAAAGATTTCATATGGCTCTGTCGAAGAAACTAATACTAACAAAAAATAGACAAATAAAAATGTCTGCAAACTGGGATTCACATTTTTTTTGCACTTTTTCCAACACTTTCTAATAAGCGGAAGTGTGAAATTTATAAAATTGACTTAATAGATATGTACATATAACGAAATGCAGAGAGAGGGAGAACACGATTTTTTTCTAACATGGAAGTTATCGTTATCGAAATAAACTTGACAAACTTTTTCAGGCATTTCCAACACTCTTTCACACGAATATCTAGATAAAATTGTTGAATATATTACATATATATACATACATAGATGTTGAGTGTAGCTTCACGTTGTATTTTGTGCTCTGCGTTGAAAAGCAGCTCGTATAAACGTTTTGTGGTTTAACAATATTAGGAAACGTGTAATGAATACAATGAGTAATATTTAATAGGTTTTCGTTAATCGAGTGTTTTCGAGTAGATTTGAGTCCAATTTAAGTGGCAGCAGCAAGTAGCATTCTAACCATTTAGCATTCGAGATACATTCGGTGCATTCGTGATTAAAACAATCGTGTAAACATTCGATAAGCAACGACAATCGTTCGATAACTATAACGGGTTTTGCATGCATATAAATATATTCATATATATGCATATATATATATATATACTTGGCTTTCAAGTCGGATGTGTATGTTGGGGTGTGTTGGGTCCTCAAGGGTCCTGCTGTGTGTTGATGTGTGTGTGTGTGGGTGGGGGGAGGTAAGTGTTTGTGTGGGGTGTGTGGGGGGAAAACAACAAACATGAATCATATTCTGTGTATGTTCAACTGGTTCAGCACCGAACAAGTTCCGCTTAGGATTTTTTCTTATATTTCTTATTATTTGGATACTTTCGCTTGACATCTGTCCTGGACACTCCAGCGGATGGCTGCTTCGCTGACGTCTTCGCCTTGACGGCGATCTGCTTCTTCCTCACAGCCGATGGCTTTTTTAGCGGTTTTTTGCTTTTGCTATTTGCCGCCGGCTTCATTTTTGGCTGCGAATACTGCTGTTGCTGCTGCTGCTGCTGCTGCTGCGACTCGGTGGCGCCCTCGCTGAGAGATTTGGCCATCATGGCCACCGGCATCACCTTGACCCGGCCACTGCGCATACCCTTGAGGCTCACCTCGGACAGTATCCGTGTGAGCGACAGCGAACAGGTGCCCTTCTCCAGCTGCGCCCGCTGCGCTCGCTGCTCGGGCGGCGTCAAAGTACGCAGCTGCTGCTTCTTTGGGGATCGCGGCGATTCCAGGCAGCACGGCGACGTTTCGGCCAAGTTGTCATAGCGCGGCTGTTGCGCCCGCAAACGCGCCTGCATCTTGGTGGGCTTGACGGGCGGCGCATACGACTCCACCGAGTACGTGGTGGACGCACCATTCGCGGCGGGCATGGAGCTAATCTTCCAGCGGCCGGCCCGCTCCATTTGAAATGCGCGATAGATTAGGTGACGGGGCACAGGAATTGGCAGAGCAGCGTGCATCTCCTGTATATTCAAACAATGAAAGATGGCATAACTAAAGCGTGGAACAGTGGAATCCGGAACACTCAATGTGGCATATTTCAAATGATTTGCAATAGGAATATTGGGATTGAAAATGGCGGAATATATCGTAGTTAAGGCAAGGTGCAGCAGTTGAAGGAAATAATTGGAAACAATGGAAGATGAGATAGTGGATGGTGGAATCCGGAACACTCAATGTGGCACATTAGAAATGATTTGCAATAGGAATAATGGGATTGGAAATGGTGGAATATATCGTATTGTTAAGGTAAAGTGCAGCAGTTGAAGGAAACAGTGGAAGATGGCATAGCTAAAGCGTGGAATAACGGAGCTAGGAACAGTGGATATGGAACATTTGAAATGCGTTGCAAGGTGAATAGTGGGATTGGAAATGGAGAGAATTCGCCGCCCATCGCAAACAATCAAGCCCGGAACAATGGAAACTGGTACAGTTGAATTGTGGACAATTGAATTGAACGAAAGTGGGAACAGTTGAACTGGAAACAGCTGCATGCAATTGCTTAAGGAACAGTTTAATTGGGAAGAGTTAGAAGTTAGGAAACACGGCACAGTTGGAACAGTGGAATACAAATTGCAGCCTCGTAAATGGGAACAGGGGAATGGAAACAGAAAGAGCAAGAGCTAGAGATCGCACTTACGGAATTGTAGAGCTGCCTTTGATCCTTGCTGAGTTTCGTCCAGGAGTCGGGCGCCCTCTCCATGGCCTCGTCGATGCTGCAGTTGTGCATTATGCAAAACTCTCTCACATAGTTGTAAAACTGAATGGGCGTGGCATTTTTTGGCCTAAAATGCCCCATTGCAGCTATGAGGCCGACGCGCTTCTCACGCGGCGATTGACCCCGTGTCGACTGCGTCTTGGCCAGATTGCGCAACAGCTCCGCATCGCTGGAAAACATTTTGTAGAGGAGTTGTTCTTCTTCTTTTTCTTATTCTCCTTGTTGGTGTTGATTAATTCGTGTCATACACTGCGATATTAAATTTGGTTTGCACCGAGCATTAAGTGGAGATTTTTAATTATCACTTGCTACGATTTTTACAATAAGTTTTGCCAAATAATCAAAATAAAAATTGCAAAATAGAAAATTAAAACGTGTGCTTAAGTTGAGCACTTTTTATAAAATGAAAACGAGCTGAAAAAATTTCAAAGGTTCCGACAAAATCCAATGCCTGGCCACCTTGGATGATTTCCGAATACTTCCCTGCACATCTCAAATAGCTGATAGCTCCATTTGAAAGCATCCCAATTCCATTTGTTTCTCACGCTGGAATGAAACACAGGAGAACCCTTTTTTTTCTGGCTACCCAAACACAAATGGAATTCTAGCGAACGAACAACTTTGCTGCTCGGAATACTGAAATAAAACACACTAAAGAGATTGTTCAACTGTGCCGGAGCTACATGCACATACATATACATATGTATATACTAGGTTCTTCATCAGCTGGTTTTATAATTCCGTCAGCATGCCAAATTGTACGCATTGCGCATTAATATTGAGAGCACAAAGCCGAATTCCATTAGAAGAAATGCTGGAATCCCAGCGAAGAGTGTTGGGCATGATTTGAGAGGCATTCCTGGCGACTGGGCTTTCAGGAATGCTGGAATGAAACACTTATCAAACAGTTGACTACTTTTGTTTCAATCTCAGATGATTCCATCCAACGGGCAGATGCGACACAATTGTATATATACATATATATGAATTCCATTAGAAGAAATGCTGGAATCCCTGCGAAGAGTGTTGGGCATGATTTGAGAGGCATGCCTGGTGACTGGGCTTTCGGGAATGCTGGAATGAAACACTTATCAAACAGTTGACTACTTTTGTTTCAATCTCAGATAATTCCATTCAACGGGCAGCTGCGACACGATCGCCAGGCCAGGCACATATACTAAGTGAATATATGTATATATACAGATGTGTGTATATATATGTGTGTGTGTATATCGCATGCTACCTACCCACTTGTCTGTCTAGTTGCCGGCTTTGCCGGGCTGTCGCGTCGCTTTGCGTCCGTGTTCCATTAACCATTTGGCAAATCTATCGACGGACCGAACTGCACACACTCGAGCGCCTGAGCGTTGTTAACCTTGAACATTTGCGCAACGATGACGGCTACCCGACTTTCTGAGCTCCCAGCCCTCCCTCCGTCTCGCCTCTCTAGATGTGTGTATGTATGTGTATATAGTATAAGAATAGAACACAAAACTTCTAACAAGTTTTGCGCGTGCGCAGCGCGAATGCAGCCGAGCAAAGGCAAAGAAAGAAAAGCAAAGCCGTAGAATGGATAACAAATGAAATATTAAAAGAAACCGACAACAACAAAACACAATAATCATATAAAAAAAAAAAGCACCGCAACAGGGTGGCTACACTGCTTGAGGAGTTCCAAGTTGAAGGCGGAAGAGAGAGCGAGAGAGAGAGAGGAAGAGCGAGAGCGAGAGCGAGTGAGAGCGAGAGCGAGCGAGGTAGCTGGGCAGGGCAGAGACTAAAGCTGAATTTAATACGCGCGCGCAACATGCACAACTAAACACACACACACACATACATCATACGTATGTATGTATGTGTGTGTGTGTGTGTGTGTGTGTGTGTGTATGGAGTGACCACTAAACAAATACAAATGCAACGAGCGGCGCTCACTTTTGAGGTGTTCCGTCATCAAAGCGAAACGAAATGAAACGAAATCAAAATCAAAAACCGAAACCCAAACCCAACAAGATTCAATGTCAGTGTCAAGCAAAAGGAAGTCGGGCAATTAGCTAAGGGGGCGGTTAGGGGCGGGAGGGGGCGGTTTGTGGCTGTTCAGGAGGTGAGGGGCAGCTGGCTGCGAAGGGCAGTCGAAATTTAGACAGTAGCTGGCAGCATTAATCATTAAATAGTTAACATTCAGCTATTCAAACAAGCATTAGTCACCGCATGTACACACACACACACACACACACACACACACACATTTGTATAAGCATATATCTATATCTATATATACATCGATTAACTGTAGTATAGAAGTTGTGTGCACACAACTGGCTCGCATAAATCTTGAGCCAACGATCAAAAATGCAAAATTATTCCTATTAGATACATTTTTTTTTTTTATGTATATTATATTTATTTTTAGCTTAATTTTTTTTCTTATAGCTTGTCAAGTAATTATCGAGAGTTTGTCTTCGATCGGGTTTAGACCTTAGCGCGATTTAATATATGCGCTACTCGTTAATCATAGAGTCCGTGCAAATATTCTTTATGCACCGAAATGCTTGTTAGAGTTAGAAACTAGTTTTTGGCCGTACAATTGAAACGTTTTATTGTTGAGTGCAGGTCTTGCAGTTCAATAATATAATAGTATCTTGAAAGCTTTATTTATTGCTGGCATTTTTGTATAACAAGTTGCTGAACAGAGGGGTTTCCCCCAATTTCTATTGGAAGAATTCTTCGCTAGTGCAACACATTCCACATGCCCCAGAAATGCTTGACTAATTTCTTTATTCTTCTGCTTAACTCTTAATATACACCTTTTTTTATTTTTGTTTTTTTTTACTTTCGCTCGATCTTTTCCCTCTCTTTTTCCTCTCTTTTCCCTCTCTTTTCCGTCTCTCTTCCCTCACTTTTCCGTCTCTTTTCCCTCTCTTTTCCCTCTCTTTTCCCTCTCTTTTCCGTCTCTGTTCCCTTACTTTTCCGTCTCTTTTCCTTCTTTTTTCCTTCTCTTTCCCTCTCTTTCCCCCCTCTTTTCCCTCTCTTTTCCCTCTCTTTTCCGTCTCTTTTCCGTCTCTGTTCCCTCACTTTTCCGTCTCTTTTCATTCTCTTTTCCTTCTTTTTTCCTTCTCTTTTTCCTCTCTTTTCCCTCTCTTTTTCATCTCTTTTCCCTCTCTTTTCAATCTCTTTTCCCTGTCTTATCCCTCTCTTTACCTTCTCTTTTTCCTCTATCTTATTTCTCTCTGTCTCCTGACTGCTTCTTAGTTTTCTTTTTGTCTGCTTCCCCCACCCTCTGTTCAATTTTCTCTCCAAAGAAAGCGGCACTCATACAGTTGCACTCTTAGCTGCATGTGTATTGGTGAGCTTTCAAAGCGCCTTTGCTCAGTTGATCGCCATCGAAGCTCCTCATGCTAGTCTGTGTGCTACATGCGTGTGTCTAAGCTGTCACTGCTTAACTTCTCTCCCTCTCTCTCTTCTCTCTTTCTCAGCCACTCGTGCGTAATTTCTAAATTTACTGAATAACTCAATAGTTAGGGTTGAAATAACAGCCATAATAGTCGATCGCCATTGGGTTTTTATAGGAATAAGCGTAGTTTTTTTTTACTTTTCATTTCTGTACTATTTTTACGATTCTTTGCAACAATAGAATTACGCTCTGATCGCTTTATTAAATTATATATAAATTTATAAAAACTTTTTAGGTAAAACCTGAAATAAATGCTTTATATTATTACATATAATTATGTAATAATAATAAACTAAAAGATATGCATAGAAATGGCTTGGGAATTGTCTAGAAATAACATTGAAATTATAAAGAAATTGCATAATATTCGAACTTAATGTTTTGAGTTTGTCTTTTGCTGCTTCGAAGCATTAACAAATTATTGTCATATAATTAATTGTTGTTAAATATTCAATTTTGTGCTCGATTTAATATTTTTAAAAAGCTATTTTTTGCGATATTTGACTGCGATAATTATGTTAGATTAAACCTATTCCTATCAATAAACATTCACCGAAATTCTTGAGCTTAAATGTTTTAATTTCTTTACTATTTTCTTTTCTGGCTTTTCTTTTTCCTGGTTGCACTTAACATTTCTTAATTCTTTTGTGAGTTTTTGACTTGATTTTTGTCCACATTTATTTTGTTGTCGTTGTTGTTGTTGTTGTTGATTGCTTATGGCGGCCAAAACTAAAATGGCAGCCGCATTTGGACGACCCTCAAAAATTGTGACTAGGCTGCCACAATCGAGTTTCTACGAATCCTCCCCGACCCCGACTCCGACGCCGACCCGCCGCTCACATACCACGCTGCGGCGCCTCGGCCTAGGCTCGTTTAACCTATGCCATCCCATTTTCACACACATGTGTGCGTGTGTGCGTGTGTGTGTGTGTGTGTGTGAACAACCCTTACCGCCTGGGCATAGCTGCCCTACGTCTACCGCTTCCTACCCCGGCTCACCCACTCCCTCTCGCTCGCTCGTTCGAGCATTTAACGCGTTCACAGGCCAAGAGCCTAGCTCGCTCTCTCTCTCTCTCACTCTCTCACTCTCGCACTCTTTCCCTCTCTCTCTCTCTCTCTCGCTCTTTCTTTTTTTAAGTGCCCTTCTCTCGCTCTTGCATTGTGTGTGTCCAGTTGCCTTTGCCTGCTTGACTTGAAATTGAGCTACCCTACACACACACACACACACACGCACACACACACAAACACCACGCCCCTTCTGACTTCTAGGCTCTGCTTTGCGTGTTGTATGGCTGCTGCCTTCTCCACCTCCTCCGCCTGCTCCTCCTGGACTCACTACCTCAAATATTTCGAACGTTTCTAGACATAATGCAAACACACACCTACACGCACACACACCTACACACGCACACACCTACACACACACACACACAAACTTACATATCAATTTTTATTGGGGTTGGACATTTGCTGTTGGGCGGTTTGCCAATTGTAGGCGTTGTGCCTTGTTCTTGTTGTTGTTGTTGTTGTTGTTGTTAGTTGCGTTGCAGCAATAATGCAACGGCCATTGAAGTTGCGCCACACACACAAACACACACACGCACACACATGAAGAGGCATATATGTACATATATATCGCGTATATATTTCAGTGCGAATCGCTGAAGCGTTGCTTGCGACGACTTCGGCTTACGTTTCGGCTTTTGCGTTCGTGTGAAACTATATTCACATGCCACACACACACACACACACGTGCACACACTCGCACACACTCAGTCACTCAGTCTACCTTTTGGGCCAACCACTCGGCCGCACTTAATTCACCTGCTTCACTTCACATTTCACATTTTACACTATTTGCATTTGCGCAAAAAGTGCAAAAGTTGACACACACGCAACATGCAACAACAACAACAACAACACGCCCCATTATTATATACACATATATATATTTGTGTGTGTGTGTG